TAAAATATCCCTTATATATTAATTGGAGAGTGATTTGTAAGAAGAACTTTATGTGTCATCTCCATAATCACTCTCATTAAAACAATTGTGACATGACTTGACAAAATTGTGACATAGCAATTTTGAATCAATAACAAAATTTTGTACAACTAAATTTATATTTGTTACCATAAATAAATCAAAAGAGTCTTTAATCAATATATTATCAGATTTTAGTAAGTTTTTATTATTATTTGGTAAGTCTTTATTAGTATTTTTAAAAAGAATATATATTCTACAAAGACTTAAAAGTAGTTTAGAAACTGATTATTGTAATAATAAAATTATAGAACATTTTATAGAATATATATTATTTTTTGGTGAGAGTGATTATGGAGATGACACATAAGTTTTTTCTCACAAATCCCTCTCCAATTAATATATAAGGGATATTATCAGAATTTAGTTTTTATTATAAAATTATATATAATTTTGGTTTTTTATTTAAAAGTAGTTTAGAAATTGATTATTGTAATAATAAAATTATAGAACATTTTATGGAATATATATTCTTTTTGAAAATAATAATAAAGACTTACCAAATTTTTAAAAGAGATTTTGATATTTTGTGAAAAAAACTTCTCAAGTTTATAACAACAAATATAATTACTCATTTGAAATTTTTTTTTAACGCAAGACAATTTAAAAGTAACAAAAATATTTTTAATCGGTCTTTCATTTAAAAAAGTTATGATTATATATTTTAATATTTTAAAATATTAAATAATTTATTTGTATTCTAAATTCTACTTAAGATATTCGGACAATCCAAATTTAACATGTTTTTTTTAAAAACTCTAATGTATTAAATTATCATATATTTTGATTTGATGCGTTTACATATATAAAATAATTAAATAGTAAAACTAAATTTCTGAAATTCATAATATTAATAACAAACTATATTATTGACAAACAAAATTAACAACAAAAGAATCAATAACAATGTTTATAATAAAAATTAAAACAACTTATATTTCATATTTTTAAAAATTAAAATTAAAATAGAACTATATAAATAATTTATCTGCATGTACAGGGGAGAATCGTAGTTCTACAAAAGGTGATCAGAAACAATAATAACCTTCAAAGACTTTTTTATTTTCCTTTTGCTTCTTAAGAAGTGAAAGTCAAAATAAGAATTCTCTTGTTTCAAAACAAGCGTGCGGTCCAAAATGGGAATTCTCTTAATTCCAAACAAGCGGTCTTAAACCGCGATTTGGGAAGATATTTGTGCCCCCTCTTATGAAAAGTCGATGACTCTATTATTGATACAAATCATGTTTCTTTGTGCCGCCTATTTATCAAGTATTAAGAGGAGAGGAATTTTCTTCTCTTTTTTTCCTTCAAGTCTTGATTCTTGACTACTGCGTCTTTCGTTGATAAGTCGTCAAAAGACAAGATTTAATATCACGAATAAGATGATAATTCTGG